CCATTGCTTCTTCCCCACAGCAGCCACCTCCCCCAACTGCCCTTGGCAGCTGGAGGGGTCTCATTAGAGCCCAAACTGGCATACTCTCCCCTGTACACAAAACCCACAGTGCTTCCCGGCTCTTTCCTCTCCCGTCTATGTTGTCTGTCCTGTCCTGTAGGCCTTTCCCTATCCGGCCCCTAACCCGTCTACCCGTCTTCCTGGCTCACTGTGTACTGAAGCTGCCCCATGAGCACGGCAGATCAGACCTGGGACCTTTGCACAAGCTGCTGTGCTGCCTGGAACACTCTTTCCCACATAGCCACAGGTCCCTGCTCCGACTCCCTGGGGAGACCTTCCTGGGGCCACCCACCCCTTCCCCACTCCCCGGCCTCACCCTCTCCAGGCCATTCCTCACAAGCTGCAGGCAGGCAGGCAGGGCCCAGTGATGCTCTCTCACTTCCTGCTGGAGGCAGGGTCCCCCGAGCTGGTGCGGTCCTTTGTGGAGGCACCAGGGACAGCCCGGGTGGGGGTGGAGGCTGGACGAGGTGAATCCCATCAGGACAGTGGAGTTGGAGACACCCGAAGGTGCACTCTAGAGCAGGGATGCAGAAGCAGCCGGAGGAGCAAGCGGGCCTCAGTTTCCCCATCTGCCCTTGGGGCTCCCTGAAGGCTGGGGCCTCAGTTGCGGCCCCCTTTCCCTCTCCCCTTTCGCCCCATCTCCCCTCCGCCGGCGACCCTAGGAGAATTCTCTGCCCTTCCCCCAATCTGCCTTTGCCACCAACCTCTCTGTGGCCAAGACAGGGTTTTTAAAAATAGCTTCATTGATTTGGTGTTTGGGGATATAAAACCCCTCGATGTTCTTTGTTAAGAAAAATAATTAAATGGTGCAGAAGAAAAAGGAGCCAATGAAAAGCAGCCTGGATCTTCTCCCCCAGCGGTAATCGCCACCTCCACTTAGGGGCTGGGCCTTCTTGTCTTCTTGGTGGTGCCCAGGGCCCCAGCGGGGCAGGGAGCAGGCCCAGGACACAGCCCCATCCGCGCCTTCGTGCCTGGGGCTCCTTCTCCCCAGGCTGAGTTTGAGCGGGGATGTCTCCCCCAGTCGCCTTTCCACTTGTTTGGATCTTGACAAAGCAGGGTCGTGTAGCTACGGCCTCACCAAGTCCTCAGACAGCAGACAGAGAGCCCGTGTCCAAGTTGGCTTCACAGACAAGGAAGTGGAAGCCCAGTGACTTGGTCCAAGTCACAGCAAATTGAGAACCAGGACACAGGTCCTTTGGCCCTGCCCGGGGTCTTTCCCCAACCACCGCCTTCTGACCATGGGGTGGAGAACCAGGCCGCCCCATCCGTGGGACGCTTGGCACACACCTTTACCTCATTTAACCCTCTCAGCATCCCCACCCATCGTACCTCGTGTTCCTTTGTACAGATGAGGAAACTAGAATCGCAAAGGTAAAGTCATTTGCCCAGGGCCACACAGCCAGGGAGCCAGGGTGTTGGGAACTGAGCACAGAGGTGTCCATCTTGCCTTGGGGGCAGGATGAATTGCACCCATTGGCCAAGGGCAGCCTTTCTGTTCCTGTCCTGATGGGGCACTGATTAGACCGGAGGGGGGGGGTGCGGAGTCGGGGGGCTTGGATTTAGCAGCAGCGCCACCTGGTGGCTGATTTCCTGCACCAGACAGTCAGAGCCAGGGCAGGATTTAAGGGCAGTGATGAGGGCACTGAGCCTGGCATGAAGAAGGAAACCACAGGCCGGCTTGGAGTCCCAGTGCGGTGCCCTGCACATGCCTCTGAGCCCACAGCACATCTGCAGAATGCAGCCTGCAGCGCAGCTACTGTCCATGATGTTCCAGATCATCAGTGTGACCCCTGTCTGCACCCCAAGGTCCTGCCCTTCTCTGCACCCTCTGAAGGTGCCCAGAGATCAGGCTCACTTTCCTCTGTGGGGCTCTCCTAAATCCCACACCTTGGGGGTCCCCGATTCCCCACTCCAGAACGGGTGGCTGTGGAAAGTCGTGGGAGGAAGGCAGAGAAAGTCCCAGGAGGATGCAGAAAACTAGGGTTACTGGACCAGGTAGGAATGTCCAGAAAAGCCAGGCCTGCATCAGCCCAGGATGGCCAAGGTTGTGGAGTCCTTGGGCCATGGCTAAGTCACACAGCACCTCCCTTGGTGGCATTCTGGCTGGACCTGGGCATTCTGCCAGCCGAGTACCACCCTCTTTGTCCCCACCCACTTCCAACTGCACCGAGTGGCCCCTGCTACCCACTCCCTCTGCCTCAGCAGCTCCTACAGCTCCACAATGATCCCTCATTAGCTCCCATAGTTCCCACAGCCTCTGGCCACACATCCCACAGCCCCTACATGGCTCTGATGTCCCCCGGATCCCCAAGACCCTAACTTCACTTTTTAGGGGGCCTGGTGATACCCTGTCACTCTATGTGAATTTCACTGGTCCCGACCCTGTCCTGTGAGCTTGTGGCCATGTCACTGTTGGGAAATGACAGGGATTGGAAAGGTACTTCCTGTACCCAAAAGGGTTTTCTGGCCCCCAAGACCCAGGCCTCCCCACCTTGCCTCTCCCACCACTGTTGCTCTGTGGCTTGGGGGATCCCCATGGCCCCAGAGGTGGCCCAGACAGCAGGTGAGGCATCACCAATGGGCATGATGCCCACGACGACTCTGGCCACCTAGGTCAAGGATACCTTCACCTTGTGGGCATGAGATGAGGGCAGTGTTAGTGACGGCAAGGCAGGACGATGGCTTTCATTTCCAGTTTACAACATTGGCCCTTCGTGGTTCTTCAAGCTCTGACCTCTTAGGCTGGCTGTGAGGCTCTGAGGAGGTGACTTTGAGCACAGCAAGTACCCCCACCCCAGCGCATGGCCCTGGGATCCTCATGGCTGCTCTGGATTCCAGGCTAATGGGAAGCTCTGGGAGCAGGGCATGTTGCTCCTCTAGGCTCCCTACAATGTGGCCTTGTTCAAAAGTAAGGAGTGGTGATCACCTGTAATGCCAGCACTGGGAGGCTGAAGTAGTATTGCCAAGTTTGAGGCCAGACTGGGTAACTTAGCAACCTAGTCAGAACCTATCGCAAAAAAATAAATAAATACATAAATAAAAATCACTGAGGATTTAGCTCAGTGGGAAGGCTTCAAGTTCAGTCTCCAGCACCAAAAACAAAAGCAAACAAATAAAAAAAAACGTGAGTGTGGCCGTGTCAGAGAAGTTGCCAGAGTTAGCCAATGAAGACTCTTTCTCTCTGCTGGGCCACGGGTGCTGAACTGAGAGAGCATTTGCACTTTGGTTGGTTCTTTTGAGACAGGGTCTCCCAGTGTAGTCCAGGCTGGTCTTGAACTAATTTTGCAGCCCAGGCTGGCTTCAAACTGGCAGCAATCCTCCTGCTTCAGGGTGCTGGGATCACAGGCGTGCGGCACCACGCCCAACATAGAGAGCACTTGTGTTGTAACAGCCTGAGATGGTGCAGGGACTGACTGTGTGGTCTCAGGGTGCCAGAGTCCTGGGGGAATCCTGGCGCAGCTATCTGCCTTTGTTAGGTTTCTTTTCTTCGCTGTTCCACCTCTGGCTAAGCTGAAGCCCAGGGAGGCCAAGGAGGCTAGAACAGGAAGGAACAGAGGCTCCTCCCCACCATACATGTGGACATGGAGACCTCTCCATCCGACAAAGAAGGGCAAGAACGGCAAGGAAGGGATGCCCCACTGCCTCCATATCCTAGTCCAGGGGCAAGGCGTGGAGCCTGGGGGTGCAGGAAAGGCCAGCCGAGCAGTGAAGGACCCACGTACCAAACTGTGCAGCTCTCAGCGCTAAGTGCCGGCTCTCTGGTGCTTGTTCCCCTCCACCAACCTCCAGGAAAGCTTCTTGGGGCCAAAGTAAGGAGCCCCGGACACCCCTCGAATGCTCTTCTCCCCTCCGTTTATCTGCCATGTCTAATAGAGCGAGTACGTGGAGCCAGGAGGGGTCGCTGTACACATCGCAGCCCACTGCTGTGCCAAGTAAATGAGCTCCTCTGGTTACCATCCTGTATGCTCCAAGGTGTGCAGATCGGGCTTCTTGGTGTTGTGGTTTTATATCTGCGTCCCCCAAAGCCTCACGCACTCATCGCTGGAGCTTTTGGGAGGTAGTTGGATCATGGGTGTGACACGCTGGTGGATTAGTCCACTGATAAGTTTTTAGCTAAACAGGATGTTGGGAGATGAAGCCTAGTTGGAGGCGGGTGACGGAGGGCATGACCTGGAAGGGTCTTTCTTTCTCTCTCACTTCTCCCTTGATTTTTCTTTACTTCCTGTCTGCCATGCCATGAGCCCTTTTTCCTCTGTCACGCCAGCCTAGTTTAAGAGCCAGTGGGCCGTCGACTGAAACCTCTACAAACCGAGCCCAAATAAGTCTTTCTCCCTACAGTTGTGGGTGTCAGGTATTGTGCCTCAGTGATGAGAAGGCAATGACTTTCCTGTGACTTAGCTGAGTCTTGACTTGCTGCTGAAAATCGCCTGACGTAACCCACATTCAGACACATGGAGGGGAGGGGCAGAGGACGGGAGGCACCAATTAGTCCCTGTGGCTCTGAGGAACGACGAAGTCCTCGGGGCCCCTGAAATGGGCCAAGTCATAAATAAAATGGAAGTGCCCATTTTACAGCTATGGTGAGGACGGAAGAGATAACTTCTGTGACGCAGTGTGGACAGCGAACAAAGGTAGACAGGGCTTCGGAGGCACCCTGCTTCCTCTTGCTCCCAATCTCAGTGTGGAGCTGGACTGGTTTTTCAGGCAGTAAAGAAACGGAAGGAGAACACAGCGCTATCACCCGGCGGGGAGTAGCCATGAGAGGCTTCCGGCCACTTCTTTTGTTTTTAAAAATAAGTAAACAGAACATCGTGCGCCCCCATGGTCTCCGATGAGAATGTTCAAGATGCAAAACAAGACAACTGTTTTCATTTTTTAATAATACCGTAAATATCTCACAAAGGATGTATTGTTCCTAACAAATATCAAAAAAAGTCATCACAATGACATGGCCCCGCCCCACACTGCCCTCCCCACCCCACAAAGTTACCTGGATCCTAGTAGGAAATTACAAAACACAGAAAACCCAGCCCCTCTGCCCCCCTCATGAGTAGGGTTAAGAGTGTCAAGTGTTAAGAGCCACGTGTCTGGCGCCTGCGTTGCAGCGGCAGACCTCAGGGACCAGTCTGTCTGTCCATCCGCCTGCAGGAGCTGGGGTGGGACTGTAGCAGCAGTAGATCTCCCATCCCCGGAGCTTGTTGGGAGGAGCATGGCTGAGGACCAACAAGTGCAGGGAGCCCCACCAGGTCCCCCCAGGTCGGATGGCCTGCCCATGAGCAGCTGGGTGCAAGAGGGGCCCCAGAACAAGGTGCCCTCACCCGCGTTGGGGCACTGGGCCTCCCTGTGAACAAACTCCGGCTTTAAATGGGGGCTGGAGTAGAGAAGAGGGGCATCTGGAAACCTTGGGGTCAATGGAACACATGGGTCTCCTTTGGAGAAAGTTCACATTTCCATTACGTGGAATTGGGGCCTGTGGGCAAGGAGAAATAATGTGCCTTCCCCACCCCTATAGCTCGGAAGGCAACATGGAGGCTCGATGTGAAATCCAGTTAATCAGAGAAAGGGATTCACTCTTGAGGCCTGAGGTCAGGCAGGGAGGGGACATCCCTGCCTCTCCATGGCCTGAGGCCTGCACCCCCCCAACCCAAGAGCCAGAGGGGGCCCAGATCATCCCCAGGTCGTCTGGATAGGCAGGAGCTGGGGCTTCTGGCCACGGGTGCAGAGGAGGAGGAAGGATAGGGAAGCAGTCTCCACACAGGGTCTGCCAAGACACATGAGACAGGATGGAGGTAGGCAGGGGACAGTGAGCAGGAGAAGAGGTGGCTGGGGACAAAGAAGGGGCCTGTGGCCTCTGTGCAGTGCTCGCTTTGGGAGGCTACAGGAAGTTCTACACCTCCTGAGCCAGAAGCCACCATGGCCGCGCCATGAGCCGTGCCCAGGATGGAGGCACAGAGGGAGGATGAGACCAGGGGATGGACAGGAGGAGCCAGGGTTAGCACACACATCAGCACATCATTGCAGGAGAAATCTGGTTTCCAGTGAGCAGGTGGGGACAGGATTCCAGGGTGGGGATCGGTGATGGGAGATGATGGCCTGTGTGTCTTCAGAAGGAGCCAACAGCAGTGCTTCAGGGGAGGGAGGCAGAGAATCCCCCGATTTTGGAGATGGGGAAACTGAGGCCCAAGGAGGGGAAGAGAGTGGCCAGGGTCACTTGGTGGGATCGAGGCAGGGGGCCTGTGACCAGGAGTCCCCAGCCTCGTAGGACTTTCTCTGCTCTTCCATGTGACCTTCAGCCTACAAATCCCACCCCCAAAAAAGGGACGGTTCAAGGGAAGAAGCTCTTCCTGGGGACCTAGAAGGGCCGGCTGCCGACAAATGCAGGACAGGAATGGTGGGTGAAGAGGCTGACAGAGAACAGCATTTGTCACTCCCCACCCCACCTGCCCATAACCCCAGTATAAAAGTTTTGCAATATGGCACACTGACCCCCTAGGACACACTGATTCAAACCACAGTGGGATGCGAGGGGTGCTAGTCACTGTACAGTATTATCTCGAGGTGGCAGATACTTCCGGGGTCACGGAGCAAGGCGGGGACGGGGGCTGTCAGCCAAGTGTACAGTGGCCCATGGAGATTAACGTGTTAATATATCCTGTGTACAGAAGCAAAGCCCCTACCACTAGGAGAAGCTTGGGGTCATTCACACGCAGGGAGGGGAGGAGGAGCATCGAGGTGGTGGGCAGGTGGGCAGGCTCAGAAGTGCGTCTCCTTCTCTGTGATGGCTGCGATGCTGCCGTCACCCTTGAGCTTGGCGCCACAGTCATTAACTGTCACTGTCCGTGGGCCTGCCCCAAGTTTGCCCCGCATTTTCAGATCTGCACTGGGGACTGTCAACTTCCGGAATTTCTAAATGTTGGAGAGGAGAAGAGCTGTCTCAGGGAGCTGCCAGGGCCTGGGGGTCAGCCTTGGACTTGCCAGCACACAGGTGGTTCCTCAGTGTGGTGCATCCATCAGACTGAGGCCCAGGCCCTGGATCTGCCACAGTGCTCTGTCCTGGTTGATGCACTGGCCTCCACAGGCCTCTGTTTCCTGCCCTGGGGAGTAGGGACAATAGAGTTCCCTGTTCCTTGTGCTAGTGAGTAGGAAGGACATGAGGGTGTATAGAAGTGCACAGCCTCCTGGGTGGCCTCAAGCAGGTGATTAGAACCTGAGAAATGTAATCAGGACCCACTACCTGGTCCCTGCTCTCTGTCAGGAGCTAAGAAGCTGGGGTATGAATTGCTGCTGGGCCATTGGCTAGCCATGTGAGCCAAGTGTTATGGTTTGGATAAAACAAATGCCCCCAAAGGCTCCTGTGTTCAGAGCTGGAGCTTTTGGAAGATGATTTGGTCATGGGGGTGCTATACTCACCAGTGGATTCACTGATGAATTCAGTAGCTGAATGTGCTGTTAAAGGAGCGGAGCCTGGTTGCTGGCAGGTCACTGGGGTGTGACCTGAAAGGGTATATTTCTGTTCCCAGCTCCTCCCTTCTCTCTTCCCACCCCTAGCTTTCCTCTGTCATGGCCTTCTACTATGCATTTCTATCTTGGAGCCAGCCAACCATGGGCTGAACCCACTGGAAGCTGTAAGCCAAATTAACTGTCTCCTCTAAGTTGTGAGTGTTGGGTACTGTGTTCCAATTACAAGAAAGTGACAAATACAGAATTTGGTACCAGGAGTGGGGCCACTGCTATGACTACCTAAACATGTGATTTACAAGTCTTTGGTGTGCAGCAAGAGTCTGAAAAGATTTGGAGATGCCAGCTAGAGAAGTCTTAGAATGCTGTGCAATCAGAGTAAGCAGACTGATGGGAGATTCTTGTCAGAGCTCAGAAAACCAGATGCTGATAGGAATGCAGAGACTAAAGGCCAGGTTCAGGATGTTTCAGTTGGGCATAAGGACTATACTGGCGGTTGGGCTAGAGGCCATGTGTGTTACACTCTGGCAGAAAATGTGCCTACATTTTATTTATGTTTGGGGACTCTGTGCTAGACTAAGTTTAAGAGAAGTAGACTAATGTGGTGGAGAAAATTTCAAGGTAGCCCAACATTCAGGCAGTGGCATGGGTTCTGCTAGCTGCTTTGAACCATATCTACAGTGAGAACCAGGAACAAAAACCCCAATGTAAAAAGTGCAGTTTCATCAGAAAGGAAGTGACTACAAGTTGGTCCCTGGAAAGCATGGTTGCTGAAAAGATCAGCATTAGAAAGAAGCCAAGTACTTCGCAACAGGAATAATAATAATAGGAATAATAGGAAGGATGGCGTGGAGGCATCTCAAGAATCAACAAAATTCCAGCCTTATAGGGTCGAGGATACAGAATTGTAAAGCTTTCATTTGAGAAGACAGTCCCCAGTCTCCTTGCTTAAGAAGAGTTGCCTAGGGAACTAGTTCCTTTGGATTCATTTCTTAATTCTCAGCCACAAAGGCACTAGGAGACCTCTGTGGCCATGATGCAAAAGGGGCCTGGCTACTGCTCAAGTCAGAGCAGACTTTGGCATCATCCTTTTGGTGCTGGTTTTACAAGCATAGAGAATGCAAGCAGTATGGGGTCACGGTAGCTTCCACCCAGCTTTCAGAGGAAGTCCTGGAAGGCTGAGCAATGTGCCACTGAGAGGGAAGTGCATGAAGTTTTGATGCCAAGAAGTTGAAGATGCCAGGACTGTGGAATGTCTGCTGAGAAAAACCACAGAAGTGCCACCCTTCGGATCTTGTATCTTACCACAACCTACCCCAGATGCTGGACATGGAGATATAGGATTTCATGTTTGCCCTACTGGGTTTCAGTCTCTCTTTGGTCCAGTTTCTTCTATTTCCATAGTCCCCCTTTTGGGTTGGGAATCATCACCCCATGTCACTGTATGGGAAGTATTTAATTTCCTGTTTTATTTTCATGGGGACTCATAGATAAGAGTTTGGCTTGAGTCTCACAGGAGATTTTGGACTTGGGACTTTTCAGCAATGCTGAAACTGTTAAGATTTTGGCAGTTCTTAGAGAAGGACTAAATGTATTTTGCATAATGAGATAGATATGAACTATTTAAGGGTCGGGGTGGGATGTAATGGTTTAGATCTAAAATATTCTCTCAAAGTCTCATGTGTTTGAAAGGTGATTGGAATGAGAGGTGCTAGACTCATCAGTGAATTCATCCATTGGTGGGTTCATGACTGGATGTGGTGTTGGGAGGCAGGGCTGGTTGGAGGCCAGTCACTGGGGGTGTGACCTGAAGGGAGTATTCTTCTCAGCTGTGGCTTTTCCCTTCTCTCTCTGCTTCCTAGCTTCCACAAGGTGAGGAACTTTCCTCTGCTAGGCCCTTCCACTATACCATTTCTTCCCCAGAGCTATCCAACCATGAATTATAGGATAATGTGAGCAAAAAAAACCCTCTCCTCCTTTAAGTTGCATGTGTTGGGCATTGTTTCCAGTGACAGGAAAGTGAACAGTCTCACAGAGACACATCCATCACAGTTGTTATGATGGTGCCTGCCAGAGAGGCAGGCCCACGGCTTTCTTGAGATACAGGTTGGCATATATGCATCACGTCCATTACCCAGGGGAAGAAGCTGAGACTAGTGAGGCGCCTAAAGCCATGCATGCCCTCCATCCCTGCCCGCCCCTCCCACCTGTCGTCCCCCTCACCTCGGGCAGCGTGCCCTCCATCCGCCACAGCTGAACGCAGATCCAGAGTGGAATGCACAGCATGGAGGACAGTGCCATGAGCCAGCCGATGCCGTAGCCCCAGGCGGGGTAGGTGTAGACATTGTTGTACTTGAGTGGCTTGTACTTGACAAGGAAGAAGATGAAGATGCCCTACAGAGAGATGAGAAGTCCCCGCAGCCGCCACCATCTGCCTGTCCACAGCAATGTGGGGCAGAACCACCCCGAGTATCAGACACGTGGGGGTACGACTCGGCCCCCATCCCCTGGGGTCCTGAGGCCTCCCATTACCCTGAAGCCTCTGTCCATCCAGGGACTCTTGTTTTGTCCCTGTCACTTCCTCAAAGGCTTATTCAAGGCTACTTTCCCATACTCTCCACACTGTGAGATGCTCTGAGATTGTTCCAGGCAGGGAATCAGACAACGGGGGCCGAGGTTGCAAGTTGTTTTTTGTAAGTGTCCTGTCTCTCCACAAGATCCCTTTGATTTTGGGGTTTGATTTTGGGGAATGAGCCTGACATTACCTCAGCTCTGCCACACCACAGTTAACAACAAAGCAAAACCTTAGTGTCCACATGGCCTTGGTGGCAGCTAGGCACAGCCCAGGCCCAAGGCAGAGGGACATTTCTCAGGCCACCTAGCAAGTCAGTGGCAGAGCTGGGATCTGCTGAGGGCCCTGCCAGGCTCAGAGTCTGTCCCTATCTCCTCAGCTTTATCAGGTGTCATGAGGCTGGGACCTGGGGACCTGTGCCCTCTCAGGGCCAGCAAGGCTGGGATGTGGAGGGTAAGTGAGCTGTGGCAGGTGGGGCACTGGGGTCAGCACCTGGCTGGTCCTTACCGCACAGATCCCAGGGGTTACCACCTTCCAGCACCACTTAATGAGTGACAGTGGCCGGTAGCCAATCATGTCTTCAATGTTGTCATAGAACCGGTTGCTTCCTTTGCAGAGCAGAATGGATGGAGATGAAACTCAATGCCCTTATTTATCACTTCAAGTACCACGAGGTAACACAGGGCTATGGCTTGGGTGATGAATGTCCCCAAAGGACCTTGTGCAAAGGCTTGGTCCTTGCTCTTTTGGAAGTGGCCCTTTAGAAGGTGGGGCCTGATGGGAGGTCCTTAGGTCATTGGACTGCCCTCCCAGGGAGGATTTGGGGAGCCCGCCTGGCCTTTTCTTCTCAGCCCAGGCTTCAGATGTCCTGATTTTACAGCCCACGCTTTTGACATGAGCTTCTGCTCTCAGCTGAGGCCTAGGCTTGAACCTGTGGAGCCTGAGCTCAGTTGAGCCTTCCTGTCCTCCTTGGGGGGAGGCATGTTTCATGATGGGGTGTAGCTGGTTGACTTGGGGGAACTCGGAGCACAGGGATTCTGGAGGATGGTGGAAGGGGCTCCCTTTGGAGAGGTGAGGCCAGGAGAGGGACTAACTGACCGCCTCAGGTGGTAGCTTAGCTGGGTAGGGGAGCAGGGCAGCTACTCCACCATCCCCATGCCTGGCTCAGTTTGGGCAACAGGAGGATTAGAAGGCAGTGTTGACAAAGGGCTGCTTCTTCTATACTGTCTCCTTTCTAGAGACAAGGTGACAGCTGCTCCATCTCACAGAGGGGAAATTGAGACACAGGGTACTAGGTCTGGCCTGAGGTCACAGTGCCTGGGCCCTAAACCTGCTTCCCGCTCTGGGGGTGAGAAGGCAGGAAGGCCCCTGGGGGTGGGGACCTCCACTCACCGTACACCCAGCCGATACACACGCACTCAAAGATGGCCACAAAGAGCAGGCACATCCCGCTGGCAGCGTAGGAGTCGAAGAGCTGGAAGATGTACATGCCACCCTGTAGACGGGGACAGACACGTGGACAGCTTGCTGGCTGGCCTTCAGTCACTGCACTCGATGCACTTTGGGGCTGCCACTGGCCAGGGGTTTGCCTGTTCTTCCTGTGAACACTGTAGCCTCTATGCCTGGGCACCCGGAAAGTGATGAGATGTCCTGTCTCAGCCTCCCCAGCTCTCCCAGGACCAGAGAGCACAGTGAAAATGAGTCGAGGTCAGGCACTCCAGCTGAGAAGGCCCCACATGGGTCCTCTGTGGCACCTGATGTGCAGTAGGTCCCTGAGTCATGCGGTGTGGGCCCTGTGGGGGCAGGGACCCCGGCTGGCTGGTGGTAGATGGTTGACCCCCACATCTGCAGGCTCTGACCCCTGGATTTGGTGTGAGAAGCGTGGGCTGGGTGTGACACTGGGGAGCACTGGGGACCAGACCCATGGAAAAGCCACAGTGCTCTGGGCCACAGAAGGGAGGCCATCATTGCAAGTTTTCTGGAAGATACCAGAAATCCAGGTTTGCATGGGAAAGTTTCTCTCTTTCCATGGTTGGTAACTTGGGAGTATATTTTTTTCTTTTTTGGTTTTTTGAGACAGGGTCTCACTACGTAGTTGAGACTGACCTGACACTCACTATGTAGCCCAGGCTGGTCTCGAACTCACAGTGATCCTCCTGCCTCAGCCTCCTGAGTGCTGGGATTACAGGTGTGCACCACCATGCCCGGCTTCAGACTGAGGCACGTTTTATAGAACACAGCAAGGGTGGAACAAGGCAAATGTATAGGCCATGTGTGCCTGAGGCCTCTGGCCTGTGACACTACAGTGGCCATCAGGTCTGTGGGCATCAGGACAGCCTGGGCCCAGCAGCAGGGCTGGCTCTGAGGCCACCCTTGAAACCCTTCCAACTTGCTTCCTTCCATTAAATGCAGTCAAGCACAGTTCAGTGGCACTAATGGCATCAGGCACAGTACAGAAGTCTCCTGAGACTGCAGCCCCGGGGGTGTCACTGCTGTCTCAGACTACGTGAATTTGTTTTGCAGCATCCACACAGTGAAACTGCCTATCAGCAGGTCCTCAGGACACATTCCATCCAGCAACGAGTGTGACTGTACCAGGCTCTGTTTCACCTGCTTCCTGCATCTTGGCTTACTTCTTGGTCCTTTCCAATGTGATTCCAAGGCAGGCACTATGGTATAGGAGAAACTGAGGCATAGAGCAGGGACAGCACCTGCCACAGGCTTTCAGATGGCTGGTGAGGAGCCAAGCACAGAGCCTGACAGATGGTCAGGCTGTGGAGCCTGGGTCTTAGCCACCCACTACCCTACCTGGTGGAAGCCAGAAGCTGGTGGGCTGTGCTTGCCCTGGAGCTGAGCTCTGAATGAGGGAGGAGATCCAGCCAGCAACTGCGAGGGTTGAGGCCACTGCAGCCCGCAATTTGCACTTCATGGATGCCCTGCCAAGATGTTCCCGCCACTGAGGACCATTCTCCATTTCAGCTGCTCATACTGGAGCCCTGATGGTCACCAAGCGCCCTCGGATGGATCCAGGCCTCAGACAGAGGGGCTATAGCTGGCAGAGGACGCCATGTTCCCCCTGCTCTTCCTGTGACCCGGGCCTCCCTGTCAGCCAGCCTCTTTAAGGTATCAGGTCAGCCTCCCAATTTGTATGCAACAAAAGACTTGCCTTTGCATAATTAATTGGCGCTTAATGAGACTCTGCTTGCTCCAGGCCCGCAGGAGGGAGGAGGAAGACTGCTCTGCTCTTGTGCATTTCCTCTAACACGGATTATGGAAGGGACAACGATCAGGAGCCCGGGTAACGAGCAGCAGCCACACTGAGCACCCAGGCCAAGCCTGTGCTGGCTCTGATGGCCTGGGGGCGGGCAGGTGGACAGGGACCATGGCCCACTGGGACACAGGGACATAGAGGGTGGCTGGGCTCGGGACCCAGGGCAGAGGCTGGGATCAGACAGGTAAGGCAGGCAGGGCAGCTTCCTGGAGGTAGCGGTGTAGGAGGACAAGTAGGTTCAGCAAGGAGGTGGCCCAGCCTTCCCAGGCTGGCCGGGTTTCACACGGCTGCTCTGATGGATTCTGAGAACACCTCCCCCATGGTTTTCAGGAAACCTCTGCCCATCTCCTGGCAGCAGCAGTTTTTCTTAATTATCTTTGTGCATGTGAGAGAAAAATACCTTCCCAAGACACTCGAACAAGTATAAGGACGGCTGCAGGGGTGGGGAAGTCATGGTTTGCGAACCTCAACTCGGCGGTCATGGAGACCCCCACACACTGGAGGCCCAGCAGAACTATGTGCAGGGGGCAGGGGCCACAGCACACCTCGCAGGAAGTGCCTGTTCCCAGAGAAGCCTGCTTTGAACTTGAAACCTGGGACAGGTAAGCAGTTTGGGACCCGGTAGCCGACACTGTTCCCTTCGCCCAGAAGTCACTGGTAGGGATGACCTAGGTGCCCACGTATGTGCCTAGGATTGTCCTGTATGTCTCTGCCCTACTAGTACCCAGGCCAAAGGACTCACAGCCAGGCCATCCCAGAGCTGGGGTCTCAGTCTTCCCACCCTCCCAAACTCCTTGCAGATGCCCCACGTCCTCACCTCTGTCAGCATCACGAGGCCCAGGAAGTAGGAGACCACAGACAGTGCCAGGATGAGCAGCTCCCGCCGGTAGCCCCTCCGGAAGACCTTGGGGTACATGTCCACCACGGCTGTCACCAGGCTTTCTACGCACACAAACTGCAGGGGACACTGTGCTGTGAGATCCTGGAAGAGGCTTCTTTTCCAGCAGGCCAGCTGCACCCTACTCTGTCCCCACAGAATGATGACTATGGCCCTGGCACTGGCTGCACAGTGAGCCCAGAAACAGGCAGGGCTGGACTGCCCAGGCCACTCAGCCTTGCACTGACCCGGGTGCATGGTTAGGACTGGAACAAGACCCAGGAGGCAAAGCAGGAGCCGTAGTCCCTATCCCCGGCCCGTGATCTGCTGGCAGTGCTCTAGGACTGCGCTGGCACCCTGCCCTGCTCCTGGTGGGCAAGTGCCCACTGCTAGGTAAGGGCAGTCAGAAGCAAGGCGATACCCAGCTCTCTGTCTCTGCAGGGCAGTCCTGGGCTCTGGCCAAATGGTACAGGCATGGATGGCTGAGTTTGAGCTGCTAAGTATCTGAATTCCAGCATGGAACATGGGGCTGGCATATGGTTTCAGTCCAACTCCCACCTACCCATCAATACCCATCCCAAGTATCCCAACGTAGCAAGCAGTCCCTTCTCTGGGTTCTCTGAAGGCAGATCTTGCAACCACTTCTTACCACTGGCTCCCAGAGAACAGTCCTCGCCTTTCCTCCTCACCCAGGGGCCCTGGCTTGCCTACATCTGTCATCTTGTAAGAAGTCATAGGGGAAGGGGCCACACTGTTCGTGCCCATTTCCAGTTTCTGGTGTAGGGCCCCGTATGCAGAACTGACTGCTCCTACTAATGCTATAGTCACAGTTCAGATTTTGTGGTCTCAGTTGTTTGTGGATTTTTTCCCTCTTAGCATCTAACTAATTACTGTTTGAGGAACACCCCTGCAATTTCGGAAACCTCGAATACTGTACCCTCTGCCATTTTTTTTTTGGCCGGAGGTTTGCAAGTAGCCAATCTGAGAGCGTTATTCAGTTCTCCTTGCTGCTGATTGGCTGCTGACCTGTAGCTCCTCTCCAGAAGATACAGCAGCACTCCCGCATCGTAACAGGCCTGTTGTACTCCATGCAGCTGTCTCAAGTGTTCTTGGTTTTGCTTTTCTTAAAGCCCTAAGATCCCTACGATGCCACCAAAATGTCCTGCACCCACTAAGGCTTCATTAATACAGTATTTTATTAAGTTAAATTATATAACTGCAGAAGACATAGCATATTTAGGGGTTCAACTATAAAAATAGGCATTTGTTAGCATTTTTTGACCATATCTGAAATCGTTTTTTTTTCATAGTTAATAGGTGCTCTAGGAATGTCACCCCTGCAAATCTTGGGGGTCCACCATATTGCTAAGGAGCACTGCAGGGGCTTGCTACACGCCGTCACCGCTTAGCGACTTAGCGACTCCACGTGGCACCTGCTGTCATGAGCAGGCATCTACCCTGCCACAGCTACCCTCTGAACCAGCCACCCTCGCCCTGAGGCAGGAGGGTGTGCGGGGCAGGAGTCAAGGGACTTTCTTGCTGGTCACTGTGTGGACAGACTCCCCTTCCTCAGGGAAGCTTCTGGACCTTAAGCCCTTGATGATTCACTTTTACCCCCTCAGAAAAGGTATTTGCACCCTTCCTGCGTGGACAAAGCCAATGAAGCAGACAGGTGAAGCGACTTTGCCAGAGTCGCACAGCTTCCAGATCCCTGGCACTGGACCAAACCTGGGCTCTGGAACCAAACGCCAGGACTCCAAAGCCCAGGCTGCAAAGCCCTGGCCTCTATCGCAAGGCAAGGGGTGGCCTTGATCTCCTGTCTCCGGGTCCCCAGGGCAGGTAGTGGGACCTGGGACCTGCTCATGGGGTGGAAACGAGACACTGTAGTACAGTTGCTCAGCCTCTCTGAGTCCTGACTTCTGCAGATGGGCAGCACCGAGGGCCCCAGCCCATGTGATTATGGTGACGATGAGCTAGACCTGGCCTTGGCAGCCTCCTCCTCCTCCTCAGCCAGGCCCATCCCCTCCTGTCACACATCAGCTGTCATCCCTGATCCCCAAGATCTCTGTCTGCAACAATGGGAGTGAGATTATCAACAGAAACACCCGGTGCCTCCCGGCTCAGCTTAGCAGCTCCTGGGGCCAGGTGGAGGGGGAGGAATTGGACGGGCGGCTGACAGGCGCATAGCCAGGCGACCTGAGCGCTGAGTGAGTCCCTCAGGGTCACGGGAGGAGCTGGGCCTCACCCCATACCCAGCAGGCCCAGGAGGCCACCTTGTTAAAGTGGGACCTCTCATCTGCGTGCCCTCTTGCAGGGGCCTGCTCACCAAGAGCCCCGGGATGCAAGGTCACTGCAGGCTGGGGGGCTCTCCGGTGCAGGCAAGGGGAGGGGCCTGGGGTGCTGGGCAGCTCCAGGGAGGGCAGGCCAGGCGGGTGCAGGACGGAGACAGGGATGGGGACACGCAGATCAATGCTGCATCTCATTATGCACCTTCTCAGGGACCCCCTTCCTCCGAATGCCACATGGTGAAGGCAGAAGCAAGTAGGGGGGCTGAGGCGACCTCAACACGGAGACAGAAGCAGGAATCAGGGGTGGCCTTGGTGACAGGGTGGGGCCGGGGACACATGTGCTGTGGCCCTGGGGTACCACGGCCCCAGCTGGCTCTCTCTAGGATGTCCTTCCAGGAATTGGTCAGCAGAATGGAAGCATTGAAGAAATAAAACACAAAACAAATTCGAACAGGAAACGGATTTCCTAGTGGGAAAACTTGAAGGGACCCCCGCTGGTGTGGGGGACCAAGGAGCTGCCCAGTGGGAGAGAGGCAGCTGGCAGCTGGCAGAGTGGAGCTCGTCTGAGCTGGGCTCTGTTACCAGAGGTGCCCACTCCCCATAACCCTTTCAGCCCCCTTACCTGGCTGTCCAGGCCCAGGAAGATGAGCATCATGAAGAACAGGGTTGCCCACAGCGGGGACAGAGGCATCATGGTCACGGCCTTGGGGTAGGCGATGAAGGCCAGGCCAGGGCCTGCAGGGAGAAGAAAGTGCACCTGGGTGTCTGGGCAGGGTCCACCTTGGTGCCAGGTGCCAGGCAGTGCCTAACGCCTACTCAGATCACATGGATCTGGCAGTATCCGTGGGGTGGCACCGTGCTGATGCTTACATTGCACACGAGAATGTCTGGGGCAGAGAGGGACACATGAGGGCTTGGAGAGGCCAGGATTCAAATCCAGGTTGGGTCTGGCACAAGGACTGTCCTCTGGGCAGCCTTGTCTGCTGCTCATCAAAATGCAGACTCCCAGGCCCTCCCAGCAGTTCTGACGGGCTGTATATGGTGAGGCAAGGTGCAGCGAGGTGCTGTCCTGCTGGGCTGTGGGTCCTGACACTCTGCCTCTGTGGTCTGTGGTCAGAGAACAGGTCTTGGAGCCAGGTGACCTGGGTTCAAATCCTGTTTGGCTATTCCCTGTGTTTGACACCTGCTTGCCTAGCTGATGATGGAGATAGTGAAGTCCCACCTAAAAGAGTGGTTTGAGAATATAATGAGACATCACAGAACAGGCAAAGCACATTTGAGAGCAGCTTTATTAAAGCCTAATTTGCACACAATAAAAGCCCATGTAAAGTGCACAGTTGTTGAGTTGTGAAAAAAAGTGTCTACATCAGACAACCAACAACGCAATCAGAATGAAGAGTATCTTATTGTCTCTCTGCTGTGTCTCCACCTCCATTATTTGTTCTCGGCAATGACTGATGAGATATTTTTCTTTTTTTCACCTTTGATTAGCTTTGCCCATCCTGCCTAGGATGCGACCGAGGGACAGATGGGGTCGCGCACTTTCCTTCCTAAGGCCGAGCTGATCTCCAAAGCAGCTGGGTCATGTGAGAGTCTCACCAGCCACGCTTGAGGGTCCCAGGGCTCCACACCCTTGTCAACACTTGATGTTATTGGTCGTTAAACCAAATCATCACAGGGGTGTGCGGCTGTCTATCCAGAGGTGTTTAATGTGGCGACTAACAGTGTTGAATGCCTTTCCGTTCATCATCCACTCTTCCTATTTCCTCTTCTGCGAAGCCCTCGTTGGAGGGTTTTGTCCATTTGGTATTGGGTTATCTCCCTTTATGGAGATGTGAGAGCTCTTTACCCAACTCAGACTTCAATCCTTTATCTGAGAAGCACTGACTGTGCGTACGAATATGTTCTCTCCAGGTGGGGCTTACCGTTAACTATGTTGCCAGTATATAAAAATACAGTGGATTTGCATTTATTGATCTTTTATCCTGCGACTTTCCAGGCCATGGAGCGCTGGGAATCTCAAAGTTCTTACTGACTTCTGTGTCACTTCTTTTTTTTTTTTTTTTGCAGATGCTTTAGGATTTTCTACATGGTCAACCATGTTGCTTACAGATAAAGACAGTTTTTATCCTTCCTCACCAATGAATGGTTTTTGTCTATTTTTCTTGCCTTCTCGAAAGGATTGTAGGACTCCAATACCCTATAGAATAGAAGCAGATTACAGGTGCCCTCCCTTTGTTCCTGGTTTTAGGGGAAAGTGTGAAGTCTTTAATAACCAGGAAGTTAGCACTGGTTCACTACCATCAACTACACCTCGGCCACATTCATATTCCATTTTTCCCTTACATCTTTTCTTTCTTTTTTTTGTTTTTTTTTTTTTTTTTTTTTTGTTTTTTGAGGCAAGGTCTCCCTTCTTAGCCCAGGCTGGCCTCGAACTCACAGCGATCCTCCTGCCCCGACCTCCTGAGTGCTGGGATTACAGCGTGCAACACCACGCCCGGTTCATCCTCACACATTTTCTGTTTCACTACCCGGTGTACAATTCCACAATACCCTTGATGGCTGTAGCTCATCCTCTTTTCTGCAACAGTTTCTCCATCTGTTATGAACTTGAGTTGTTCTTCATTAAGTTTATTGGTGCTTTTTAAGTACACAGTACAGTCGCATTCCTCGCGGGGATCCTGTACCTCTACACGACAGGTCTCAGTTCTCATTCTTTTCCCCCCTCCCCTCCCCTTCCCTCACCCCCTCCAAACTTCCCTGTTTACAAGGACTTTGTTTCCATGTTTTTCCTTTTCTCATATTTTTTCTTTTCCCTTTTTACCTTTCCCCTCCCCCTCCCATTTCCTCTACTCCTTTAGACCTTTTCTTCCTATTACACAGTATCAATTATACATTTTAATCCTTATTTACACTTTTACTTTTCACACCAGAGAAACTATTTGGTATTTACACATGTGTGACATTAATTTCACTTAAGAGAATGGCCTCAATATGCATCCATTTAGCTATAAACGACACTAGCTTCTCATTCTTTATGGCTGAGTAGTGCTCCATTTTATAGAAAAACACCATCTTCTTTATCCAGTCTCCAGCTGATGGGCTGTTTCTAAGTTCTAGCTATTACAAACTGTGCCACTATAAACATGGGTGCACATATGTTGCTGTGGTATGATTCTTTTAATTCTTTTGGAAAGATATCCAGCAGAGGGATGGCTGGGTCAAATGGGACCCCTAATTCTAGCTCTTTAAGGTATCTCCATATTGATTTCCACAGTGGTTGTAACAGTCTGCACTCCCGCCAACAATGGAGAAGGGTTCCTTTCGCCATACAACCCTGCCAGCATTTGTTATTAGTTAGCTTTTTGATAGCAGCCATTCTTTCTGAGGTAGAATCTCAGTGTTGTCTTCATCTGCATCTCTTGAATGACCAGTGATGTTGAGCATTTTTTTCATGTATTTATTTGCTGCTTTTACTTGTTTGTCTGAGAAACATCTGTTTATTTCAGATGCCCATTTTTGAATAAGGTCTTTATATTTGGGGGGGTCTGATTTTTTGAGTTCTTTATATATTCTAGATAGTAGACTTGTCTGAAGAACAGCTGGCAAATTTTTTTTCTCACATTGTGGGTTGTCTCTTAGCTCTGTTGCTGGTTTCTCTTGCAGTGCAGAAGCTTTCTAATAAGATGGGATCCCAGTTGATGATTTGTGCTAGTTCCCACGCTACTGAGGATGTTTATAAAGTCTTTTCCTATGATAATGTCTTTGAGAGTTCTACCTAACTTATCTTCCAGCAAGTTTAGTGTTTCTGTTTTAATATTTAGACTTTTAATCCACTTGGATTTTGGTTTAGTGCATGGTGAAAGATAGAGGTCTAGTTTCAGTCTTTGGCAGGTTGAAATCCAGTTTTCCCAACACATTTATTGAAGAGGATATCTTTCCTCCACTGAGGATGGTTGTCTACTTTGTCAAAGATGAGGTAGCTGAGTACATCTGGAGTTGTTTCTCTACTAATCTATTCCACTGATCCTCGGGTCTGTTTCTTTGACAGTACCATGCTTTTTTAGTTTTTTCAATCATAGTGGCTTTGTAGTATAATTTCAAGTTGGGGATTGTGATACCCTATCATGTCTCTGTTGCCTAGAATGGATTTTGCTATTCTAGGTCTCTTCTGGTTCCAAATGAATTTTTGGATTGTTTTTTCTAGTTCTGTGAAATATACTCTCGGGATTTCAATCCGGATTGCATTGGTCTGTGTAGCAGTTTTGGAAGTATGGCCATTTTCACTATGTTGGTTCTTCCTACCTAGGAGCAAGGGATGTCTTTCCATTTTCTTATATTATCTTCAATCTCTTTTTTCAGAGTGCTGTAGTTTTCAGTGTAGAGGTCTTTTGCTTGCTTTATTAGATTGATTCCTAGATATTTCATTTTTTGATGCTATTGTGAAAGGGATTGTTTCCCTAATTTCTCTCTCAGTGAGTCTGCTATTTGTGTACAAGAGGGCTATTGATTTTTGAGTGCTGACCTTGTATCCAGCTACTCTGCTGAAAGTGTCAATTAAGTCTAGAAGTCTTTTGGTGGAATTTTTTGGGTCTTCTATGTAGAGTATCATATTGTCAGCAAATGATGACAGTTTAACTTCTTCCTTTCCTATCTTTATTCCTTTTCTTTCTTTCTCTTGTCTAACTGTTGAGTATAATGGTTCCAGAACTATATTGCTAAGGAGTGGTGATAGTGGGCATCCTTGTCTCGTTCCTGATTTTGAGCTTGACAGTTTTGATGGATATGGGTCAGTCTTTTGCCGAGGGTCTTTTAAAGAGGGTCTGGCGGATGTCTTCTCATGTCTGCCTGAGGTCAGGAAATCCCAGAAGGGGTGTGGAGTCCTCAGCATTGCACTGGGGGTGGGGTATACATTGGCCAGCCTTATTATTGGTGACGTCTGTCTCGGCCACATAGCCAAGGAGGCATCTACCAGTTTACACATTGAAAAGTCACTGTTTTGCTCCTGCAGTTGCTCAGACGGGGAGTACTTGGAGATAAGGATCATTTCCTGCTTCTGTGCAGTCTTGTATCCACCAACCGTGGCATCCATTGGTGGATCTGCTGCAGTCCTCATTATTCAGGGTTTGGATAATGATGATCTGGTATTATGCCTCATCCCTTCTATTTCATTAACTGGTCTTCTGTACGGGGCAGCTGCCCCTGACTTCCCAACTATATGACCCCATCAGTACAGTCCCGGATGTTAGTTTGTTCTACGGGTCACCTTCCGATGCCATCACTGTCTGTTGGCTGCTTGCAGTGCCTGGCTTTGGCCACCAGCCCTCCTTCCAGCTGACCCTGTGTCTGCTGATGCCTCCACCCCTTTTCCGAGCAGGTCCTTGTTCTCTGGCACCGAATACATAATCTAGCTTCCTCTTGTCCTGCCCAGCACTGTAGTCCACTGCTTCCCAAGGAGCCCTGGCTTCTCTGGTTGACAAGTGTGTCTTAAAATGAAGACCTGGGTGCCTGGTGTACCCTTTGTCTGGCGGGTGGGGGTGTCATGGCTTACAGCTCTCAGTGTGGGGAAATCCACACCCTTGCACACGGCGGGGATTTATCTACATGCATCTTAAAGAATGAGTTCCAATATGCTAAAACCTCTGATTGCAACATTCTACTCTCTGTTTTCTTTATTTCTAACTGCTTAATCAGACTATGATTAAGATGAGAAAATGACTGTAATGGACCTAATATATTGACCTCTGTTCAACTTTCATATGCAGTATTGCAGACGTGATAACCCATATCCCCGTACTAACACAAGTACAATAACTTTTGTCTTTGCATTTACAGTGCCCCCTCAACGACATTTTTCAATGTTTCTCAGGTTTTTCTTCCCCATCGTCTTGAGTATAGCTACATGGGTGTTGGTCATTTGTAACAGTTACATCCATCTGGTACTGTTTGCATTTCATTTTGCCTTGCTCCCCAGACTAATGGTTTACTTATTCAGGGTGGTTTGTGAAGATACCAAGAGTCAAGGTTAATAACAAAGATACATCGGGAGCTGGGGCAGTGATGTGTGCCAGTAATGTGTGCCAGTAATGCCAGCTCCTTGGGAGGCCGAGACAAGAGGCTTGAAAATTTGAGGTCAGTCTGGGCAATTTAGTGAGACCCTGTCCCCAAAATAAAAATAGAGAAGGGATGTAGTTCAGTGGTAGAGCATTTGTGCAACATATGTGAAGCCCTGGGCTCAACCTTGGTACTAAAACAAACAAACAGAAAAACAACCTCACAGTAGGGGGAAAAGGGGTGTTTCCTTCCCATCCTAGTACCTCATTCCTGTCCCTCCTCTCCAGCCCCTTTCTACCCACCTTGTAAAGGTAACCATGCTGTTTCCAGTTCATCCTTTCTCTATTTCCTTTGCATAAAGGAGCAGGCATATTTTCTTATATCCCATTCATTGCTCACATGATGAGTAGAATGTCACTGATATTTGCTTTTTTAAACATTACACAGCATTTAAAAAAATACCCCCCCCAAGGACCTGAGTTCAATCCCCGGTACCAAAAAACAAAACAAACTAAAAACCTCAAGTTCTACTTTCTTGATTACATTCAGTTATAGATCAATGTTAAACTTTGCCAAAGGCTTTTTTTTGCATCCATGGAGATACAACAATCTTATGATTTCTTGTTAGATCTGAGAATATTGTGTACAATATTAATGGGCTTCCTACACTAAGGCAACCTTGCACCATTCTGGAACACATTCTCCATAGTTATGCAAATTACACCTTTCTGACCTGGCAAGGAACTTGGTGTATGACTTTCTGCAGTAACTACATGGATTGGGCTTTTCTCAAAATCAAGCTCATTTTCATGTTATTGGGTATTCTATAAACTCCCTAGTTTAGTTGTGTCATTGTCCACAAATTTTGATATGTTGTGTTTACATTACCATTAGGCTTGAAATATTTTCTTCTTTGCACTATAGGTTATGTAGAAGTATGTTGCCTAACTAATATATATTTGGGGGTTTCCCAGACATCTTTTTGTTATAGATTTCTAATTTTACTCAGTGGTAGCAAGAGGATGTACTCTGCATGATTTCAATCTTTTCAATACACTGAGACTTACTTATTTTAGGCCCACTGTATGGTCTACCTTGGTGAATGTTCTAGTTTCATTTGGAAAAAGTATATTCTGCAGAGTTTTATAAATGTTGGCTAATGTGGTTGACAGTGTTGCTTAGATCTCCGTGTCTACTGATATTTTATATAGTTGCTCTATGAGTGAGACAGGAGTTAAAATCTCCAATCATAATTATGAATTTGTCTATTTTCCCCTTTAGTTCCATCAGTTTTAAAAAGTTACATTTAAGTACCTGCTGTCTAGTGCAAAGACATTAAGGACCATTAGATCTCCCCGATGAATTATCCTTTTGATCATTATAAAATGTCCATCTTTATCTGTAGCATTTTGACTTGATGTGTACTTTGTCTAACACAAATATAGCCAATCCATTGTATTATGCTTATTGTTTTTCTTCCTCTCTCCTTTTTAAAAAAAAACATTTTATGTACATATATCTTTAAATTTAAAGGGTATCTCTTTTAGCTGTTTTATAGTTGGGTCTTGTTTTCTTTTTAATTCAGATTGATAATCTGTCTTTTTTTTTTTTTTTTTTTTT